ACTAGCAAAGACAAAGACATATGAAGAATGTTATTGTGGCTGTTCCAACATTCAGTCTTCAGATGACAAGGCACATTAACCACCCTTGCAAATTCCTTTCTATTGAAGTCATTCATTTTGTTAAGAATTCAGTAAAACATTTCACAAAGGCTGCAGGTGAGAAGAAAACCTACAGGGACAGATTATTGTCCAATAACTTGAAAACTGAAACTCAATCAATTTTAATTATTGTTTCTTTAAAAAATCAGCACTTCATGTTGAATCAAAATGTAAGACAATTAAACTTAGTCTTTTCCTGCATAGTTAATGTTTGCACTTTAAGGACAATTTAAGAGGGCTGATCAGTCCTCTAATGTTTGCAGTTAATATGAAGTCTGAATGTTCAGACAACCTATAAGGGTTGTCTGATGCAAGATAAAATACAATGAAGTAGAAAATGCATTGTTTTGTGGTTTAACTGCACCAAAAAAGTGTTAAATGCGGCTGTAGTAACTGTTTTTTTTTTTTGTGCTTTTGTGTAATTTCAAAACAGGGTGTAACAGTGGTCTAAGTTCTTTAATTCATTTCCATATGTTAACATTAGGTATAAAATGCTTTTGAGGTACTTGTAAACAAAACAAAGAAAATTCCCCCTTTGAAATTGTGTTTCAAAATTGAGAAGAAACCTGATTTCCAATTGAGAAGTCACAGATCCATATTTTGCATCAGGCCTAAAATAAGTGCTTTACCTTTCCAGCATTGGTAGAAATGGTGTTAGCCATGACCCCTTCCAGGTAACTGCTGAGACTGACGCCTTTCACTGAGATGATAGCTTCTTGAGTCAATATTGTCCTGAAAAGAATGATAATTTGACGGAAATCAGAGAGAAAATTTAGTACATCACAATTCATAATGAAAAAAGAAAAACTGACAGAGAAAGATGAAACATACTTCTCTGGATCTTCAGGATGTGGTTTGTAGGTTAACTTTTCATCCACAGACACCATGTTTGTGAAGGTGATCTGAAAAGGAAGAATCAAGAATTCATTTTAGTTAACACTTAAAGTACGTGCAGTGTAATTTCCACACCTAAAGTTTGAACAGTTTGACAAGCCTCCCTAAAGCTCTTAACAATTGTTCTTGAAACTTCAAGAAGACTTGAATAACAAGTACAACCTCATTCTAAGAATGAGGTTGTACTTGTTACAGGCATGACAGACTATTCATGTCATTGAAAAGTCTGAGCTCATCTGGATGTAAGTAACACAAACTCTACCTAAACTGGGTGTGTGTTTGAGACTGACACAACCCCAAAGACAATATGCTTCGTCTCTGCTTGTCATCGAATGGGAAAGAACAACAACAAAAGAAAGCTTTAATGCTGTCACTCTAGCTGATATTAACTCCTGGACTGACATTGAATGTCTTTGGCAGACCTTGAAATCCCAAACTCTACCAAGCATTCAAAAGAAAAGGATGTTCTTATTACTCACATTTGAAGACTGAAGTTCAAACATTTTCTCTTTGGGATCCACAATCGAGCTCTCCTGAATGTAGGTGCACGTTCGGACATTTCCAATGAGCTAAAGGAAAAAGACGAAGACATTTTACAACCATGCTAAAATTTACAAACATCCCTGTATTTTAATTAAAATAAAATGATATGCAAAAAGTACTGAATGATACTTTTCAGTATCAGTCGTTACTGAATGATACTGTATCATTCAGTGTCATTCTATTTATAATACCTTCAATTTATAATATTTCATGGCTGAATTAATACAGATGTGTTATTCAAATGTGTACTGTTGCTCAGAAATAGAAATTATGACACCACGTTGATTTGATAACTTTTCACTTCAGTCCAAATATTCGAAATTAGATTTTTTAAAATTCTTTTAACCATAGGGAAAACCCTAACACAATACTTTGCTAAGGATAAATAAAAACTATTTCTTACATGCTAAATGATACTGGGATTATAAGCCACAGCTCCCAAAGAGCCTTCAAAAGGTGCCAAAACTCAAGATAGGAAACATGAAATTTATACACACAGGAAGCACAGAAGTGTTTTACTAATTCAATGATTTGTAAATAAACTATGAAATCAGGAAACAAAACTTTTGGTCTCAAAAAACAGAGTTATGATATTACTAGAGAGAACAGACATATCCTCATATATCTAACCAAGAGTTGTCAGAAAATGCTGACATAAAACAATCTTAGACAGCTGGAATGGCACAGTATCAGTTTTCTGCAACCTCATCGTTCCAGAGTTCGGATTACAGAGTTCAGTGAATCACGGTTCCCATAGGAAGAGTTCAAATTACACATTGTGCAATTCCAGAGGGCTTCGTCACCGCTCTGCTTTCAAGTCACCTCTGGTTCTGACCGAGCTGACACACAGATGGAAAGTTACATCACACGGTGTCAGGGATCACATCTGAGCAATGATGGATATGGGACCACCATGTCCCGTACAGCACGAGCTGTGGCACATCGCCATGAACTAGCCGTGGCTCCAATGAGATCCTATTTCTGTTACTATTACTGGACAGAAGAGCCTTGCTTGTGAAGGTCAGATACGAGCATGGAAAGTTAACCATGTGATGGATGTATTTGGATTTTTGTAATCCATTTTATCACGGGACTTTTAATACAAATATCACAATGTTTTCCATCATTGTCTGGAAAAGATTATGTGTTTGGGTTTTGACACTCACAGATTTTACAATGGACGGTAGGCCCCACTCTGTGCTGAGCAGCCTTTTACTGCGGAGGCGGCCTTGTTGGTCAATGTTTCGGTCTAGTACATCCACTCCAAACACATTGGGATTCATGGGATTTGGATACTTCTGCATAGCAGCCTTGGTCACCATCTCCCAAGGATGGCTGTGGGGCAAAAGCAACAAAAAAACAGAATTTGATAAATAAAAGTCACACACACAAAACTACCATTTTACACAGCATTACAGAGTTGAGTGAATCTTTTTATTCACAATTATACATTTTCCTAAATGCTACAATTAAACAAATTCCTATTCCAACAAACAGTAATTGTTTCCTCTTATTAACATTTACTCTTAAGGTTAAATAACAAAACACTAAAGAAACTCTTACTTCATTGTTTGTAGCTCATACTGTAGCTTCAAAAGTGCACAGGGTTAATTTTAAATTGAATTATATTTTATTTAATTTACCTTACAGTTACAGTTTTACTCGGTCAAAAGGTAATTATAACATGACTAAAATAAAAAGAATAAAGCTGAATTAAGCAGCTCCAGCTTTGATAACTTACGAAAAAAATGGTTTTTTAAGTAATACGCAAAAAATGCTTAAAATGTGATATCAATTTTCAAAGAGCGACGGGGAAGACTGTTAGCTTGTAGCAAGCTAACACAGACGTTTCTATGGAGACAGATGAAATGCCTCTGCTAGTGACGTGTACAATTACGACAGCACGTACGGAAGAATGTAGGGGAAAGGTTAAAGGGGCTGCTCGGATCTGACCGGCGAGTTAGGCAAGCCAAAAAACTGCAGAGACTAGTCAATGACAGCGTCTTATGATCAGTTTTATTCAATTTCTTGGCCGCTTTAAGAATCTTTTAAGTAATTTAGTGTTATTAAAACCAAAGCAATCACGGTACACTATATATCAGTGTACTTGACACGCTCGAATATGTTATAACAAAAAAAACTGGAATTTATATATAGAAACATGGTTATTAAAAACAATGTTCAGTGGTCTAACTTTGCATATGGTATATTACACAATCAAAATAAAAATAAAATTAGCGTTAACAAAAGCTCCGGTCAGGAAAGTCGGTTCAAATCTGCAACCAGCAAACAGAACAGACATTGCTGTTGGATAGAGAAAATCTGGGCTTACTTGAATATGTGCTCCGAGGTCCAAATCTTCATAATTTAATAGTAAGCAGCAAAGGCTGTGAAGCAGCTGTCGAACCGGTAGGAAGACGGTCAAACTGACAGATGTAAGGAAGCAGCACATGAAGTGAATGAAGGATCCTTCCGCCCCATCCCAGCGCAACCGCAGTCATATGAGTCCGTGACGCATTTCCGCCTCTTGGGTCATAACGCTAAATCGAAATATGCCATGTTTTACTCTTACACTTAACATTCACTGCCAGATATGGCATAATATTAAGTCCCCGAGGTCTTAATATTTATTATATTTTCTATTATAAAATGGTTTGATTGATTGTTTAGATATTTTTGACATCAAGTGCAGAAAAAACAGAAAAAGTTTTAAAATATTTTTTCTAGCACATTATATAACTGCCCAGTCTTATCTTGCCTCAAACTTTTTAAACATTGGAATAATTGTATCTTTTGTAATAGACGTGTTTGTCTTTTTTTCCCCCAATTCATTTAAAAAATACTTTATTAATCCCAGAGGGAAATTAAATATTGTTATTTATACTGATTTTGTTTGACCCACGGACATAGTTTGGACCTCCATGACATGGTTATCATCTTTGTGTCAGATACGACTGTAATAATTAAGACATTTACTTAAATTCTATAAATGAATGCATATTTACCTGTATTGTAAACATTTAAATTCTCCTTATGTCTGTCTGATCACCTAAGCGTCATGACTTTCATTGAAAATGTTTAGTTAAATGTTGATTTCACGTTATATATGTTGCTGCTTGACCTTCTCTTGACCTTATAACCTGTCCTGAAAAAGAACTTTGATATGTCTGTTGGCACCGTGACCTATATTACACATCATCTCTAATTTGTCACAGTACTGTACAAGAGTTCAGTCAACTGTACTACAGAGTGCAGGGGCATCTGAAAGGCAAGTGTGCTTATCTAGAAGTGAACATGCTCTGTCCAAGTTATGCGTAATCGCAGGGCACCAGACTTGTGCAAGTGGGAGGAAACAGACTGACAGCCTTGAACTGTATCACTGGTAGTGTGGTATCAGAGCACTTCCTAGTGTCACAGTTTGCCTCAGATCAACTCCAATTCATAAAACCTGCTGTCAGAGGACAAGGCTTTGAAAAAGCTTTTAATACATATTCCATACACAAAAACAAAACATTGCTTAAACATCAATATAATATTTGTTTGAAGTTATGGATTATACAGAAATGCTGAAAATATAATTCATTTAAACATGTACAAATAAATCCAATATTTTAAAGAGAAATAAATCAATTATAAAATTTGTTTAAAAATACAAAAACATTGTTTGCATTATTTCAAAAGTACATTTACATACAGGGCTGACATAGTGTAACATAGTCAAAATGCATGCTTCTTTTTTTCCAGTTAATAGTTTTTTATAAATGCATTAAAATATCATACAGCCCATGGAATGAGAAGAAAGAAGGCAATATTATTCACTCTTAATAAATTAATACATATTATAGTCATTACTTTGAATCAGTGAGCCACGGGTTTCATTTTACAATAGTACAACAAATACAAGGACATTTATACAAAACCAAATAGCTGGATCGAGTCTTATTGGTTTTCTGCTTTGACCTCGACTGCACCCAGAAAGTACTTGTTTACTATAAACTGTAACATGATGTGCACTTCTTAACATCATGACAACTCAGACTACAAAAAGGGTGAATGGTATACTTGTTACATAATGTTTTACTATAACTTATTGCTTTGCTGAATGACAGAAATGCAAACTGCAACATGAATTAAAGCTCATTCAATTTAATTTTTATTGCTCTTCCAATCTCCCAACACACAGTTTCCAACAGTTTCTATAATAATAAAAGTAAGTGCTTAGCATTGATTGTATATGCAATCATACAACTGGAGTTCCACATAAGGGGAAGTTATGTAAGAACTGTTTCTGGGTGTGGCAAAATTTGCCTCTTTCCAAAGAATTGTTTATGTTACAAGTAAAATTTCTGAATGGCTAAAAAGCTTTTAAAAAAAAGAGGCATGATGTACATGTGCATAAGGACTCCAGACTCCATGGATACAAATTACTCTTAGATTAATTTAGTGGAGCAAAATAAAATCCCAGCAGTAATTAGTGTAATTAGTGTGTAAAATTACTTGTTAAATCTTAAAACAAATATGCAAAAACAAACAAAAAAAAATCTATGTGCTACCTTCTGGCTAGCAAGTAAATGTAAACATAGCTTTAAACTGCATGCTTACAACTGTGGCTAATTGTCAGGTTTGTCTATAAGTCAATCTCATGATTATATTTTTTTAATACAACGACCCATCTGTCTTCTGGAGGAGCCTGGGCTGACATTCCCTGACAGAAGCATCCTTTAGATCACCTTCCATACATCTGAAGCATTCGCTGGTCATCTAAATGGCAAATCTGTCTAGTTAGTCATGGGTCTGCTGTTGGAATTGCATGTCTAAGATATTTATTTCAAAATACTGCTGAAAGATTTTTTTCAAACGATCAAAAGCCCTAAACATAATGATCAAAATCTTGAATCCAGGAAAAGGTCAAAATAAATATAAAATGAATAAAAAAATACAAATAAAACAGGTTAACATAAAAAATTGTTTCCAAAGAAATTCACTGTACATACATCATCTCAATTCAAGCCCAAAGAGTCCTTGAAGCTATATACTCCATCCACACTACTCATCTACAGTTTCTTTGATGGTTTCAACCACTGTTTCCAGTTTGGTTTCCGTCCGAGACTGAACCTTTGTGATTCCTGCAGATGAGGGTCCTTCCTCTTCTTCTTCTTCTGCTTCCCAATCTAGATCAGCAGTTGCATCTTGGTACTGCTGGTACTCTGCCACCAGGTCGTTGAGGTTACTTTCAGCTTCTGTGAACTCCATTTCATCCATACCCTCTCCTGTGTACCAGTGAAGAAACGCCTTCCGTCTAAACATGAGGGAGAACTGCTCGCCTACCCGACGGAATATCTCCTGGATTGCTGTGTTGTTTCCGATGAATGTGGAAGCCATTTTTAGACCTCGAGGAGGGATGTCACACACAGCCACCTTTACATTATGGGGGATCCAATCGACAAAGTAGGCACTGTTTTTCTGTTGCATTGCAAGCATCTGCTCATCCACCTCTTTGGTGGACATCCTACCTCGAAAGACACCAGCTACTGTGAGGTAGCGCCCTCGCCGTGGGTCGCATGCTGCCATCATGTTGCGGGCATCAAACATCTGCTGGGTAAGTTCAGGTACAGTGAGAGCTCTGTATTGCTGGCTACCCCGAGGTGTCAGTGGGGCGAAGCCTGGCATGAAGAAGTGGAGACGGGGGAAGGGCACCATGTTGACAGCTAGCTTCCTGAGGTCAGCATTGAGCTGTCCTGGAAATCTGAGAGAGGTTGTGACCCCGCTCATAGTCAAGGACACTAAATGGTTGAGATCCCCATAAGTCGGTGTGGTCAGTTTTAGGGTACGGAAACAGATGTCGTAAAGGGCCTCGTTGTCAATGCAGAAAGTCTCGTCTGTGTTCTCTAAGAGCTGATGCACAGAGAGTGTAGCATTGTAAGGCTCCACCACCGTGTCTGAAACTTTAGGAGAAGGCATGATGCTGAAGGTATTCATGATACGGTCTGGGTAGTCCTCTCTGATCTTATTGATGAGGAGGGTACCCATGCCGGAGCCTGTGCCTCCCCCCAGTGAGTGAACCAGCTGAAAGCCTTGGAGGCAATCACAGCTTTCACTCTCGTTCCTGACCCGGTCCATGACATGCTCCACCAACTCCGCTCCCTCTGTGTAGTGGCCCTTTGCCCAGTTGTTTCCAGCTCCTGAGTTCCCTGCACCACCAGATTTATAGACGTTAGGTTATTTATCCACAATAGATTACAAATCAATAACTTATTTCTACAGAAATTATTCCAGCTAAACTGACAGGCTTAACTTATGTCTTTACACTTCTGACTCTTCTGACCACACCATTCTTAGGCAAAACAATTTTAGTGTCTTGCAGTGACAGAGTGGAGATCAAACCAGCAACCCTACCAATTGCAGAACTCCTGCCACCATCACGAAGAATTTTAATAACATGAATATTGTGTTTTTCTTCTCAGTCGGCCTTACCATGGATGAAATTGTCTGGTCTAAAAAGAGCACCAATGCGACTTCCTCTGACACTGTCCATAGTGCCGGGCTCCAGGTCCACAAGCAATGCCCTGGGGACATATTTACCACCTACAAACAGAATCAATAAGTTTTGAAAACATAACTGGGAATGGGCATTTTCAGCCAATATCTTTCAGTGATTTAATGCCCAGTCCTATACTAAAAAACAAAATAAGTCACAGACTGCTGAGCTCAATACACAATATTTGTGGTAAAGTATTTGAATAAGCCTTAGCAAGCAAATGAACTCTTCTGGTACCGTGTGCCTCATTAAAGTAGACGTTGAGCCTCTCCAGTTGTATGTTGCTGTCTCCTTCGTAGAGGCCCGTTGCATTTATCCCATGTTCTTCACTGATAACTTCCCAGAACTAAAACAGAAGAAAATTATCAATACAACACTCATAGTAAGTTGTTCCCTAAAAGATCCTCTTTATACAGTAGTTAAACTCCACTTCAATTTTTAATGTTTAAAATGTGACTGTACCGTATTGCACTTAAGGAGACTATTTATATGTGCTTATAAAGAAATCATCTAGTTAGTATCCATCTACAAAAAGTCTTGAATTATTCCCCATTTCTTCCTATTTTCCTTCCAAATACCAAGTTTCTCTTTAAGTCTCTTAAAAGTTCTTAGTATTTTGGCCGCCAATCATTTCAGTTAAAAAAAAAAAACTCGTAAGATGTAAAGTACTGAGAAATCAAGATTCTTTAAAAGTTTTGCACAGTATGTTAAGCATCAATTAAATCATTATTGAGCTGGAACAAGCAGTTATCTATTTGTCTCATGCTTTTATATAAGCTAGATACAGAACATCAAGTGTACATAATGTAAAATGGATTTTTAGACCAGAAGTAACCTGACTGTTTGGAGACTAATACAGCCTAAAATGTCAAAAAGCAGCATGTGTTACCAATTTTTATCATTTTGTTCTTCCCCGCTCTTATTTTGTGTAAGCCATGATAAAAATGTCCCACCCATGTCAGTTCTACTTTGGTTCTTATCTTTCAACTAAGAGCTTGACAAGGAACACCCTGTGTCACTCACAGTGAGTGACGGCTCACAGCGCAAAATAATCACCGCAAGAATAAAAAATACATGCAGTTTTGGACTATTTTAAACATGTTTTCACAAAATGTATAAACAGTAACTGTTATTCTCGTAACTCTGCTCGTTAATAATGTTCCAAATATTAACCAAGAAGTTTTTGATGCAGGTTTTTTGACACATATCACATTTTATGGAGGTGATAATTAATAATTGTTTCTTTGTATTACCTTCGAGCCGATCTGGTTGCCACATTGTCCAATTTGCAGATGTACGATTTCACGCATGGTGATTGAGAGACAGTCCACCGAACAGCTGAGGGTTCAAGATAGTCCCCAGTGCTCTCATCTGTCTTATATATGGAACCAAAAGTGATGTCATCAGTGACACAAGGAAGTCCTCTGTTTAAAAAAAATGAGAAAGACCCAGAAATCACAATAAAAACGAAATATTCTGCTGTGCAAAAGTCTGTATCCTATTAGTTATTGCATCCGAGGGAGAGTTTTGTGTGATTTTTAAAGGACCAGCGGTCTTGCAGGCTGATTTTAGATTGGTTTTAAATTTGTATTTATTTATTTTAAACATCATATGTTGATACTTATTAAGCTGCTCAAGCTGTAAAAACTTCAAGAGGACACAAGGTCTGTAAACCCAAGGGACGAATCAGTTTGGTGTTTTTACAAAATAGGTTATGTGGTTCATCTATGTATTCATTGAAAACTGTGAATATAAGTCTGAATGGTATTTTACCACTAAGGTGGGTTCCACATGGATTTTAAGCTAAATTAAATAATGTCGTTTTGGTTAAACCAAAAATATATATGTATATATGTATTCAGAGAGAGAGAGATAGAAGATATATCTCTTAACTCTACATCCGACCAAAAACAGGAAGGAAGTTTAGTGCAGACGAAATAAGGTGGCTCATTTCATTGCTCAGTGTCTCATAGCATCTATAAGTAGCAACATAGGATCCCACATATATAATTATGTAGCATTCTATTTTGGTATTTATTATATTCTAAATAAAATAACCAAGTTTCTATTCAAGAACACTAAAAAGGAACTTTATGTACTTCTCTGTGCTCTAGTGTTGCTGATAAATGGTCAGATTGTGACGGATGCTACCATCTAGAGGATAAAGGCGGCAATGACACTTTACAAGTTCACTGAGTCTTTATATAATTTTAAAGTAATTCATATTTCAAGTCGAACTGATCATTTTTAAGATTCTAGAGTAGTTTTTAACTTGACTGTCTGTGCCTTGCTACAAATTCGTTAATACATTTAATTATCATTTGGAAACTGTTTTTTCCATTTAAATTATCATTGTCTAAGATCAAAGTTCGTTTGATCTTCTGAATATTTAAGTGTGATTTTAAAAAAAAGTAAAAACAGAATAACTTGGAAGAGGGGAAAACTTTTCCACAGCAGACTGAAATGTATTTGTCCTGTTTTTGGGGCTATCTTTGACATCTAATTATGGTGAAGAGTTTGCATGAAGTTTAATTCTTTGAACTTACAGTATGTTTGAAATATTTCTCCATCTGAGAAACACTGTCATGGTGAAAAAAACTAAATGAACCAAATTCACCTGACTGAGAGAAAAAAGAAAGTATCACTCTGAATTGAGCTGAAGTGAGACGACCATTTTAAATCCTAGGATTCATCTTGTAACTTAACTTGTAAATTAGTTCCACCATCTGTTGTCTGTTGGGGTTCATTAAAGAGCCACAACAGCATTTAGTTGTCACTGATGACCTTTATGTGTTTTGCCCTGAGCCTTTTGACGCACTTATGGTCGGAGTTTGTTTGTGTGTGGGCCAGTTTGTCTGCTGTGTATGAATCATGATGGAATCTGAATTTATGTGTGTACATGTCAGATTCAAAGCGATTAATTGAATTCATTAATTTAAAGACTTAAAGGGATTTAAATATCCCGATCACTAACAAGTGAGAAAGGATGCTGCACTGTTGTGTTATCTAAATTTCTTTCAAGGAATCTCATTGGAAAGTTGTAGGATGCAACCCACCTTTAAACTAAAAATGAGCAAGACTGTGGGAGATAGGTAATAGTTTATAATATTGCTGTTATTCTATCTTATAGATCATCTGCTTTGGTAAAAAAAGAGTATTATTGATGATGGCTTCTTATTTTGGTACACATCATTTTAGAGCTGCCCAGTCATTAGTCATTTCATAGAGATAGTTCAATTTTTTTTCAACAAAGGGTTCTCTGATTTTGATTAGTTGATCTCATTTTCCAGGAATTTGTTCATTTATATCCATTAGCTAAAGCCATAGTTAGCTGACCAAGATGATCATTATGATCTCTTAAGTCAAAGGTATCAGTCAGAAGAAGGGTAACAAAAATTCCATGGTAGCTTACACAGTAGTACAATCAAGGCAGGTATCAATGACGGGAATAATTGTTACTGATTCCTTGCAGGAACAATGTGAGAGAAAGGTGATATTAGAAAATGGATGAGAAATATTTCATTTCTCTTTGGGATCAGTAAAGCATTTTTGAATTGAATTAAATTGAATTGGAATGAATTGTTAGTCTGAGATGCAAAGAGGCACTAAAGGAGCTGCTGAAACTTCTTGCAAGTAATGCTTGCATTCCACATTTGCGTTAAATCTAAAAATTAGGAAACACAATTTTAAGTTATTAAACTTTTTTCTAATAAAAAAGGTTTACCTCAGACCTATTGAAAGCTTCCGAGAACATTGGGGGAAAGGGGTTGTAAAAGTCCAGTGCAATCTGAGTTAATAGTTTGAACTTTAGCTTAAAAAGTTGAATCAAAAAAATGCTTCAAAAGATGCTGCCTATTTTTAAGATGGATTTGTGCAGAATATAAATAGAAAAAGGTTGAAAATGACTTGGAATACATTGTTTCCACATGACAAAACCTTGCTATTCTGTACGACTCAAAAGTCAGCCAATTTCAACAACAAAAAAATATTATCACTATATTGTCTAATGTGATAAATTTAATGAATTCTCTTTTGCAACAATTAAAATGGTTACAGACTTGTCCAGGTCAGGTATAGAACCATCTAAATCTGATTGTTTTTCTTTCTTCTTCTTTCTTTTTTTTACACCAAAGTAAAGATAAAAAAAAACACATTTGAAAAAAAAAACAAGATATTTTTGGGATAAAACATGTTTTCTCAAATTGTAAGTCTTCTTTTGTCTTTTGTCCAATATAATTAAAATTGTGACCTGTTTTAGCCTCTTCACAGAACCTTAGGAAACTTGAACTATTCTTTTAAATTTTTATTATAGAACTAATCTACTGAGTAATTACGTAATCCATTGCTAAAATTCTGGTGATTGGTTTACACTTTGCACAACAAACCTAGGACTAAAAGAAAACTGTTTCAAGTTCATGTCTTTTGAGAGATTTATTGAAACTGATTGCTAATATATGTTCTACCTTCATAACATTGTGTGACTTTTCAAATCCAAAGCCATGCGGTTGACCAACTTTCTGAAGCTGTAATTGCTTGAAAGTTACAGCTATCATTCTACAAATAGCATATCATCTTTTTTATGTGTTTGGAGTGCTTTTTTTTATAACCTAATCAATAATCTTTCAGTTATTCATGGAGGATGGGTAAGTTGATGATCATTTTTGCTTCAAAGAGGGCGCCTCTCCCCTTCTGTACCTCTGCTTCTTGACGCTCCGGGCAATCATGTGATCCAACCAAAGACCGACGCTGCTTTAAAGACCAGAGTCAAGCGGCAGTAAAACGGAAATCAGCAGGACCCTGTTTGCCATTCAAATTAAAAGTATCAAACCTCTCATTAAAAAAAATTAAAAATAAATACATAAAAAAGAGATTAGAATAGGATACTTTATTGATACTATTAAGAGGTCCACTCTTTGTGCTCCACAAAAAAACATACCTCTGGGGAACAACTTTTTCTTTCATATATTTTATGTAGCTGCAGCCAGTGTAATTGTAAATGTTTGCAAACAGAAAGGTTCTTGTGCTTGAACAACTCTTAATGGCTCCTGATGCTTTTATCAGTTGTATATCATAATTAATTGGGTTGTGTGTATGTGTAAATGGGCCTATTCAAACCACAATTTCTTCTCAGCATCACTAAACACATATTAAGTTCTACCAAGCTACTCGTACAAAAAATTGAGAATTATGACTCAAAACTGTTGATTTCAACTTTGTGAATAAATAAGTACTGTAAATATACCAGTTATCTTAGGCTAGAATTGACTTTTGTTTAAAAAATAAAAACTAATCAGAAACAATGCTGCTGATGATTTTTTTTTCTCAGACTTTGATAAAACTTGATAAAAACAGTCCATACATAACAAAAGAAAACAAAAAAATGGTTACACTTGGAATGAGGGGAGGGAAATAGTTTTTGTTTGTTTTCTAAAAAAAACAGCAAAGAATATCTCTAAACTTTTTTTTACATCAAGATTTAAACTGTTAAATATGAAAATCTTTAAAGAATGTGTTTTCTGTTCAGCTGACAAATATGAAGCACAAAATGAAAGAAATAAAAATATACCACTAGACTTTAAGACAGCTGCAAGCATTTTGCGAATGTGGTGCTTTTTTTTGCTTTTATTATGAAAGGCTCAACCGGAAAAAGAGTCGGTTATCATGGTAAACTTGACACCACTTCTTCATTCCCAGGGTTCCGTGAGAGCCGTTTGCCCCACCCCACCTCTTCAGCGCTATCTATCTCAATGTACAATTCTCTGAGAAAAAAAAACGGGGGCAAAAATAATTCAGAGAAACGCCGCGAACGGAGCGAGTCTCACCCACCAGACCGGCTCACCGGAGCGGCCGCGGGCTATCGGCGCCGAAAGCAACCGCCTGTCTCCGTTTGGATGAAGTGAGTGAAAAAAACCCCACCGCGGTATGTTCATGTATCATGCACATGTAACCATTATCTGCCGTACGGATTCAGAGGGAATACAAAAAGGCGAGAGCCTTGACAGCGGACTGTTCTCCTGCTGCTGCTTGCGCCAAAACGGGGGACACAGCGGAGGATTTCCACGAATATCGGCCGGATATTTGGTCGCGGAGACGGACAGCCAGCTGCCGAGAGCCGCCTGTGTTCGGTCGGAGAAGATTTCCGATGTGAGAAGAAACACAAATTAACGCTACGGAGAGAAAAAGGACGGACTAGGGGCCTTTTTCCTTTTCTATATTTTTTTTGTTGGTCAAACCCTCCTTAAAAAAGACAGACACCCGCATCTATTGACCGAAGACAGGACTGAATTTTTGGCACAGGATATCACCAATAAGGCTGCTGATAACCTTCCTGATTAAAATAAAATGTGAG